AGAACGGGCGTATCAGGTAAGTACCAACACCCCTTCTTCCCCATGGTGTTTGGGGAAATAGCCAGCACTAATATTTGAACAGAATGTGATTGGTCTTTCTGTATGAAGTATATCTTGCCCAACTAAACTCAGCTTGTGGTACTCAGTCTTTTTTTTGATCCTGATGTCTATAGTTTATTCACCTTTATAAAGATTAGGATTAATTCTCCACTGTAATTTTCATTAGAAAATTAAATTAAGTTTTCTTCTTCATTTGGACAAGGCTGCCTATGCATGATAAAAATATTAAAAGTTCTTTAAATCCAAGATACTTGTTGTTGGTCTATTTACAAATTGTAAGATGATATAAAATCACACTTATAGCATTAGATTGCTTAGAATGTAGACAGTGGAAGAGTACACACTAAGCAGCAAGCAAACTAAAATGTTTAATCCTAGGTTTAGAAAAGAAAGCTTAAGAAAAGCTGATGTCCAGCCAGGCTTCTTAACCATTGATATGAGAATTGGTTGGAAGATAGTAGAAACCAGATTGCATTGTTGGAGAGCCTAGAAAGGAAGTTGAACTCTGATAAGAGGATGAATTGTTATCAGGACTCTGCTTCCTGGCAAATATATTACAGATCTTTTTATTTTTGTTGAAATCTTTGAAAATGCTTTTATAAAGATCTCTATTTCCCGAGCTGTGACTGGTTCTTTCTTCTGTTACTGTGATTAGAGTTACATTTTCAATAGGTTTTCATAAAGACTTATTTGTTGACTATGGTTTTTGCCAGAGCAATTGATCGTAACAGTTCATACTATTCCTTGGCTTTCAATTTTGATTTGTTCATATTCTCTAAATCTCTAGCATTATTTTTTTCTTTTCTTGAACAGCATTTGTCAACATTTATGGTATAGAGAAAATATGCAATATTTAAGGAGATATAATGCGTTAATTGAGGCATGACTTTGATGATATAGCGTGCAATACGAGGAAAAAAGGTTTTAGCATTAAAAATGTTGAAGAACTGATTATGCATTTTCAAATCAGAGTTAGTTTCTAGTGACACACAGATTACTGTAAGTATGGATAAACAAATATAGATGTCTGTTGTTCAGTTAAATACCGTAAGGGTCTTCATACAGATATCTTCCCAATAAGTACATCTGGAACTCAACAAAGTTAAAAGGCTTAGAAAGGTATTTTGTGTGGTTTGAAACTCAGTGTGCCTCTATTTAATTTTCTCTTAGCCTGAAGAAGTGTGAGAAAATAGAAAAAAAATACTGCTTTCTGCTCCATTCTTATCCATTCTTATTTTGAGTTGTTGGAAATCCATCAACTATCCTCCCCAGGTGGGGAAAAATGTGTGGGAAAGAGGAATAGGAAGCTGATAATAGTCTTTGTAGATATTTTCTAACATATTTAACATGTTAAATCAATATTATATATTGTGAACTCAGTTGTCTAGTAAAAATGCCTATAGAATTAGTTTTTAGTATTCTAGTGCATTACAGTGTGTCCAGGAGACACAACTCATGGTAAAGCTAAAGACACAAAAGCATTGATTTTCCAAGGTGGGAAAGCACAAGGATAAGGAGCAGATTAAGCTTCTACCTACTTCTGTTTGATCCACATCTCTCATAAAAATGTACAGGAAAATGCTGTGTTTGAAAATCTGTAGCAGTAAAAAAAAACAAGCCAATTTGCCTTCTTTTCCTTATAGAAGAATATGGGACTTTAGTAGTAGTCCTGGAAGCATAGTTGATACTACTGAAGTAATACTATTAAGTTAAACATGCATGCAAATAGGAAATTCCTGCAGGGTGCAGCACAGTCACATTTGACTACAAACGTGGAAACTCTATAGTGAATAGAGCTCAAGGAAGTTATTAACTCTGCAGGGATTATTAAGAAAGGGATTGAAAGGAAAACCACCAAGTTTATATGTACAGTAATACATTTATATAAATCTATAGAACATCAGCATTTAGAATACTAGTACAGTTCTGGTCACTGAATTTGAAAAATGATATACCTAGAAAGCCGTAGAAGAATGTAAGCAAAATGATCAAAACGTATAAACATTTCCTGATGACTTTCTTCTTTGATAAGTGGAGAAACGCAGAAAAGAATCAACAGTCCTTGATTTTGATACTAACCAATAAGAGAGGCTTAACTGAGGAAATGGAAGTAACAGAAACCGAGTATAAGAGAGAAAGTCAAAGCATGATAAATAGTATTTCATAGCAGTAGAAGCTATTGAAAAATGGAGGTGGATGGGAATTCCTAAATATAAAATTCTTAAAGTGCAAATGCAAACAACTACAGTAAGTTTAAAAATAAAGGATAGTAGAGAAAGCCAACCGTCTCACAAAAGGTCATTGATTACTACTGGAGATAGAGTTGGTACTGCTAGAACGAATACCGTTAGGTTTACCATACATGAAAATTGCCTGCAGGTCCAGCACAGCCAAATCTGATTACAAAAATAGAAAATCCTGAAAAATGAGGGAGTTAATAAAAAATACTGAAAGGAAAACCAGCTAGCAAAGTGAATGCCATTAGATAACAAAATAGTAAAAATATTAAATCAAGAAAAATACTAAAATTGCAGGAAAACTGATTTATTTATTTATTTTGCATCTTTCATTACTACAGCAGACATAAGATAGGTAACCCAAGCTGGGTTTGACTTTTGAGGGTGGGGAATGAGGGGGAGAAATAAAGCAGCTAAAGCAAATTGGTTTAACAATGCAGGTGGTCAGGATTCCGGCAGTTACTCCAATTAAATCACGAGTCTTGAGCCATACTCCCAAAACTTCAAAGGATTTACTGGAAGTCAACAGGTCGGCATGACCTGGGCTTAGCTGACTCTGAGACAAGTAATTCACTATCACCCTTGACCCTGCTTCCTCCCCCCCCCCCCCCCAACTGACAGGCCACTAATAAAACATTTTCTATACATGTTTTATAGTTGTTAGCAGAGTATTCTAGGAGATAGTGACCTATCACCAGGTCCTGATGCCAGCCATTCTAAAATTCTTACATATCAAATGGGCATTTAAGGCAAAACAAAATAATGACCTTCAAATCAGAATGGGTGCCAGAGGACTGGAAAGCAAACAATATGATGCTAATTTTAGAAAGGGATTTAGGGAGATGCATAAGAATACCAGACTGGTCAGCTTCAGAGTAATTAACTGTGATGGGAAGTCATAGAAATTGGATGGGTGGGTAGGTGAAGTTTGTTCCAGGCAAATTGGTAGACATGGTAATCAAACTAAGCACATAGAGGAACATGAATGTCGAGGCATGTGCATAGAGGTGACTTAATCCTCACTATATACTGGGATTTTCTAAAAGCCTTTGATATAATTCCTCATTAAAATCTATTTAGTGGTTGTGTGATAAGATTTTTTTAATGGACTAACTATTGAAAAAATAGAGTAGAAATAAACAGGAATTTTCCTGAATGGAGGAAAGTAAGAAATATAGTCCTTAAAGGATTTGAGTTGGGACCAGTACTTTTCAATTTTTATATATGATCTTGACTTAGAGATAAGCAATTAGTTGGGCAGATTTGCATATGTTTCCAATTTATTCCAAGTGGTAAGCCATAAATGATTGCAAAGAGCTCTTAGAAGTTGATGAATAAAACTGATCAGGTAAATAATGAATGTAGTTAGCTGAACTAAGTGTAAACAGATGCACATTAAGTCAACATCCACCTTCACACTACAAGTTCACGTGTATAATTGTTGATATTTGTACCAAGAAATTAGTAAGAAAAATATCTTGGTTAGTTCAGTGACAATATGAGTTCAGTATGCAGGATTTGGGAAAACACAAATTCCACACCAGAGTTCATTAAAATGAGGATGGAAAATAAACATAATCAGATATGTCCACATCTGTAATAGTCTGTGTAATTCTGGTTGCTAACTATAAAAAAAGTAGCTGGAGTTGGGAAAAATGATGAGGACAAGAACATGATTTGAACACCTTCCCTATGAGAAAATGATAGAACTTTGAGGACCATTTAAGCATAGAAAAAAGGTGGAAAAGATATAAATCATAGTTTAGATCAGAGAAAATAGAAACAAATTCCTTTTCAGAACATAAGGACCAGGGATCTTCCAATAACATTTATTGGGAAGAAATATAAAACAGATAAAAGCAATATGTCTTTATATGAACACATAATTAACTAGTAAAATTCATTACCACAACATGCAGTAATGATCATTGACCTGAATGCATTTCAAAGAGCATTTATCTAATCCACAAGAATATAGAAAGAAAGGTTATTGAGGGCTGTTATTGTGCTTAATACCACGAAGTAAGGGGCAGCATTCCTTCAGCTACCAATATCAGGAAAACAATGGCTGGTGGTTGAAGAGGAGTATGCCTTCATGTTTGGCTTTTATGGTTTCCAGAGGTATCTGGCTGACCATTGTGAGAAACCAAGTGCTGATTTAAAATGGATGTTGGCTTGATTCAGCAGGGCTATCCTTATGTTCTTAAGGAATGCAATGTGGATTTACATTCCAATAGTTCCTCCATGTATCTTAGAGTTCCTGCTGCATGCATATCTTACCAATATTATGTGTGCAGAATGTAATTCAGCTGTAGAATTCAGTAATACAAGCTTGTGTCATGATCAGCAGTCTTCACTGCTTTAAAAGGAAAGTAGACAAATATATATAGAGGATGAAGCTCAATGTGGCTATAAACCATGTCTATAATACCTTCAGAACTGAAAACAATACGCTTCTAACCACTAGATAACAATAGTATAAGACTATTTGCCTCATGCCTTCTTGCTTGGCAACAGTGTGTAATAAGGTCAAGCACTATTTTGGCCTTAATTATGATGAAACACTGTTTTTATTATCTTAATCATTGGGATTTTATTAACAGTGTTGTACTTGATTAATTTGAACTTTCCAGTTCCTGAATTGATCTTTGCCAAGGTTGCCATGTTTTGCTAAAGCAGTGTCTACTTTTTCCCCCACTGCAGGCCTCCGGAAAACTGTGCTGCTAACATCCTTTCTCATGGTAGTCGGTGCTGGCCTGAGATGTATACCTGTATCCAACCAAGAAACAAGGAAATGGTAAGAAAACTAATAATTTATTTTATCAGTAGGAAACTACAGTAAGGAATATATGATAAAGATCCCAAATTATTAAGTGGCAGAATGATTGTTTTAAATAGAGAAAAAAGTTAATAAAATATAATAACATAATATATAATAATATAAGTGTTAGTCATTGTATGTAGTCACACCAAAAATTCAGTTTCTATCCCTAATATATTGAAAGGACATAAATTTATCCCAATCAATCTAATCCAAATAACTATATAGAACGAAAAATGATACATGTATATTTGCAAATTGTGATTGATACAGCAGTGATGTCCTGTGTGTTGGTTTCACCTCTGACAGTTTACACTGAAAAGAGGATCTCCTTAATGTATAGGAGAGCCGTAGTGGCTTAGTGCTTAGAATGCAGTATTGTAGACTAACTCACTACTCACTGTCAGTAGCAGTGCACAAAATCTGGTTCTCCACATGTAGTTTACCTATGAGAACGTTAAAAAATTGTTTGAAGTGTGAAATTTATCACTCCCTTTAATAAAATAAGTACCTGTATAATACTATATCTTTATGACCTAGTTATTAATTTTAAGTTTCTTTAGCTATGCTTACTTCATTTGTTTTTAAAGTGCTTAGATTTTTGATACTCCAGTGATCTTCAGAATATTAATAAATTTAGCACAGTATTCAGGGCACTGGCTTACTTTTCTTCATTAAAAAACTCAGTAAAGTATTTGTTATAAAAACTGTAGACATATCTCATTTCTGTGCAGAATAGGAGGAGGTGGGGCTGATTGGTGGCATGCACAACACATAACATTGACACACTTTGGTTAATACATCATTGAAAAGAGCAGTTTTGTGATTGAATTTGTAGATGGATCCATTAAACAAAGATCCTTCACTGATTAGCCAAAAATTAAACTGACTGGTATATCTTTTGAAAGCCTTAAGAGTTGCTGACTCTCAAGAGGACAGAATTAAGCACTGTATCTTTGATGCACGATTTACAAAACACAACAGTAAAAACAATGAAGATGCAGGAAGAATATAGAATCCAAAAGAAACTGTGGAGAAAACCAAAAATCATCAAATAACTAAAATGCCCCATCAAGGATCTGCCAACAATTCTAGCTCATAGCCAGGGGATACAGCCAGATATCAAGGACTCATTTAAATGGGCCAAGGTAGAGACTATGTGAATCTCGGGTGGTGTTCCAGCAATGCCATGAGAGAGAAAGCCCACTTCTTGGAGTCCCACCATTGTTTAATTGATGAGACCTGGAGGATACCTGGAGGTCTGTAAGGGGCGTGCATAAGCGCACAATCGTGCCTACTGTCCCTGTCCTGTTGTCCCTGCTTATTTGTACCTATTTCCTGTATTCATACTCATGTTTATTCTTATATCTATTACCTTGTAAGCGATTGACAAATCAAATCAAATCAAATAAATAAATAAAAATACCGACGTTTTCAGACATTATGGTTGGGCAGGAACTATAGAAGATAGGTGCTCCCTCAAATAACCAAGCCCTATGCCTGGAAAAGAGCAACGTAACCAGCAACTTGAATTTTATTAGAAGCCCACCAATAAACAGTGCAGTTCATGAAGCAGAGGTAATTCATGGGCATGCTGTGACCTGCCCATAAATATGCTATCCGCAAAAGAGACATAGATAAGAGAAGAGAAACTAGGGAGGGGCCATAAATATTGAGACATAAACATCAGTGAAGTAGAATTCTGCATGAACAAGCAGTCATATTTGTCTACTACAAGCATTTAACTTTAGAAACATTTGTTAGCTTCAAAAAGTTATGCCATTAGCATACTGGGAGTATTGATTTTAAAATGTCTTATGTTTTATTTTAATAAGAAGGAAAACTTCATAATTAGACCTCTGAAAATCTATAAATGTATGTGGCATGGAGTACAGATGCTGAAAAATAGATTATAGCATTGGTTAGCACATTGAACTAGCTAAGAGAAAAATGCCCTTTTAAAGATTTAATAATCATTTTAAGCATTTTGCTGTCGATTGCAGCTGTAGCGGCCAAATTAGAAGAGTCCTACCCAGTGGTGGGATTGAATATTTTTAACTACCGGTTCTGTGGGCTTTGGGGGGGCATAGCAGGGGAAGGATACAGTAAAATCTCTAGTCAGAGGTGGTATTTGCTGGTTCTCTGAACTACTCAAAATTTCTGCTACCGGTTCTCCAGAACTGGTCAGAATCTGCTGAATACCACCTCTGGTCCTGCCATAACCTTTTAAGTAATCTTTATCTATTAGTGGACTGGTTCTGTTTCACTAATCTTAGCAGCCCAGGATAAAATGGCAGCAGAGGGAAGCAACCAGTGACTGGAGGGAACAGCTAGCAAAGCACCTTTTAGCCAACTGGAATGGAGGCATTGCCTGGAAGAAATGAAGCCCTGCAGCCAGATGGCCCAGTGTCATTTGTGCCCGGAGAGATTAGAAAACACTACTTTTGATTATGCAACAAAAAAGGATCAGCAGTGGCTGCCTTCACAATAGGCAAGAGTCAGGCTGAGAACCACAGCATGCATTCACATATTCGGGAATTGATGAGTTCACATACTGAGATGAGCAAGATATGCAGATGAGTCCTAGGACTTACGTGATGCATTTAGATTGGATTCCAAAATGTACTTTGGTGCACTCAGGACCTAAATGTAGCATCTGTTTTTAAAATAGCAATACCTTCTCCCAGGATCCTTGCTACAAAGAGGCAGTCATGTAAAATCTTGGGAAAATGCTGGAAGTGCTTCAAAGTGTTTTGGATTGTTGATGTGTGTCATGTTTCTGCATGTTCTGAAGCACATTTTGGAATTAAATGGGAAAGACTGCAGATTCTCTTGCAGAGATTACTAGTGCAAAGTGGGGATACCCTGGAGGATATGCCTGAAGATTAGCTACAAACAAGCTGAGGGGATTACCTGTGAATTTCATCCTATTGTAACACCAACATGAGGTGCTTTTGTTGTTGTTGTTCTTTCTACCTCTATAATATAGTCAGTATTTCCCCATCTCACATTTATCAATTTCTTTAACTTTTCTTTCCCTGTTTCCCCTTAGAAGGAGATACACACACACACACACACACACACACACCTACCTCAATGTTGCTAAATATAAGAATGAATGCTTGCCATATGCATGTGCTGGTCAATTATGTCTGCATATAGGGTCTCTTACTTGTCAAGTAATTAATATGAATTAGTAGGTAATTCATGGGCTTTGTTATACTGGTTGAGACATCAGGGTAGAAAGTGAGAGACTTGAGTTCAAGTACTGTCTTAGGCACAAATCTAGCTGCGTGAACTTGAGCCAGTCCTTTTCTCTCAACCCTAGGAAGAACCACTTCTAAAATTTGACAAGAAAACTGACTCAAAGGCGCACACACAATAATTCAATTATAGTGGTATCTTGATACTTGTCGTTAATTGATACTTGTTGTTAATTGGCAACGAGTATTAAAAATAATGAGACCAAACTAATCATGTGAATCACCATGTGACCTTTTGTTTCGGCTGTCTGTCCCTTTTCCTATTCCAGCATGGGTGACTTCCTGTCTGCCCTCTGTGGATATCCACTGTTCCCTTTGTAGCAACATTCTCAGCATGACCAACTTTCTGTCCATTCTCCACAGCCATCTCCCTCTTCCTATTGCAGCGCACCAAGTTCCAAACAAATGTCTTTTCTTTCTTTTTCCCTTCTTTTCTACACTCTTCCATTCCCTTTTTCCTCCCCTATTTTCCCCATTATTGGTTTTTGTATTTTTGTATTTTATATTATAAATTAATAAAAAAGACAATTAAAAAAAGTACCAAACAAACAATGAATACTGGGACATTCACATGAAAATGAGTCAAGTATCGAATTTGATGAGTTTTGAAGCAGTTGAATACCGAAGTATCACTGTAATAAAATTTTCCTTTCGGGAAATATGTGCTTGGCAGATACATATATTAGTTTATTTGCACAGAAGGATACACAAATATCCCATGCATACATTTATTGCATAGGAATAGAGAATTTCTAAGGTTGTTATTTTGCTGAAGTTGGCAAGGTGGGGAAATGGCTTTACACAGTATTTGTGTCAGGATTATCTTACTATTCTTCTCTTTTGGGGAAATCCTCTTAAATTCGGAGTTGTTTTTCTTTCAAGTAAATGCAGTCGATATTAACAATTTAAGGAAGAGCTCTCTGTGTTCCAACATCTAGTAACTTCTTGCTTAATTATCTGGCGACCAGACACGTAGCTGTTTACCAAACTCTTCTTGATATTTATATATATTGTTGGTTCATATGAAATAAAACTTACCCATTAAAAGCTCCTTTGTGTATCTTTAAAATAATTGTTTACTGTTTACATGTTTTGTTTCGGAAAATGTTTGGATGGCCTCGCCCCCCGTCCCCTGGTTATCTCAATGTTGCTTCCTAGCTTTGATTCCCTATGGCGATGTCTTTTGAACTTAGATGCAACTTTGATCAAAGAAACATTTTCAGGAGGTTGACAGACTGCAATAACACAGTATTATGATGTGAAAGATTGAGAAAAATTGTCATTGTGTTGCCAGAGGTCTTGCTGTATCATTATGCTGTTGCCTTTTCACTGTCAGAATGTTGACAGAAATGCCATGGAATTGGCCTGTTATGGGAGAATTTGCTTTATTGCAAATCTTTGGCTCTTGCTTGACAAGTTGTCAGTCAGATTCTAAATAGCAAGATTTTCAGAATTGAAAAGTTTTTAGTAAAATAACAACTTTAAGGATGGCCAAATGCATTTGAGCCAAGTTATTCATACTCAGCATCAAAACCTTTCTGAATTGAAATAGGCTATGCCTCCTTCTCTATCTCTGTCTATCTGTCTGTCTGTCTGTCTCTTTCTCTCTCTCTTCCTCTTCCTCTCTCTCTCTCTCTTCAGTTTAAGAGTAGTTCCTCATTCAAATCATGGTGCCTCTGTGTAAAAATCTTTTCACTTTGCTAAAAGGAGTAA